AAAAGATGGAACAGTTGTGGCTCCGAAGAATCGCGAACGAGATGAAAGAGAGAAAGTAAAAAAAGCTGTTTTAAATTTTATGAAAATCTGACAGTCATTCATGATTCCTGTGCAATATCGCAAGGATCGATTTATTATTCTATGAAACAGCCAACGAAAGATTCCACCGAGCAAGTTACTCGCTACGCTAAATCCGCACTTTTTCAGCTGTTTTTCAAAGATCGCTCGTTCCTCATTTTCATTCTCTTCCAACAGGAACAGTACATCGAAGTATCGTTAAAAGAAGAAAAGAAAAGGAAAAGAAAAGAAAAGGAAAAAAGAAACTAAAATCGTAAACCCCCTTCCCTCACTGGCTGGAAACTTACACGGGGAAACGATTAACGACGGCGGAACTCTCTTTGGCGGCTTTTCGCCCGAGAAAAGATTCATCGTGGCCGAGACTTTCCGCCGACAGTATGATAAATTGCGTTCTACGTAGAATCTCGTTTAATCGATAATTGATCACCGTTCTTTTGTTTTTCATGATACCACCGATAGCGAATCAGCCATTATCAACGTTCAGCTTGGGAAAAACCAAGATCCCCTATCGTCGGATTTCGGGGCGAAACCGCGACTGTGTCGTTGACTTGCAACGTTATTTTTATCGTGAACGTATGCGAGGCGGCATTGTAAACGATAGACGCGACGTGCGCAAAGGATCGCCTAAATTTCAATAGCCGGTCCGTCATTGTCCCGTGTAATTGATTACATTAACGGTGGGACCACCTGGACGTAGTTGGATAAAACTAAAGAAGAAAAAGGGAAGCTACAACGTGGCAGGAATAAGAAGTTGCCTCGGATGATGAATGTGCCTTCTGAGCCGTCGCGTCAGCCAGGCTCTGTTTCTCGTTTGTAAACGAGCCTTCCCTCTTTTTCCCGCCGACGTGGACACCGCTTTCGCTCGTTTTTACCGGTGTTCTATCGACAGGAAGAGGAACGTTCCCTCTCCCTCTCACCTCTCTCCCCGTTACTTTGTTTATCTAACCATTTATCTTCGACGAGAGGTAAATTCGCGAAATTAACGGATGGATTACGCTTCCTTTTTATCATTCTGACGAAACAAAAGCATACAGCCAAGAACTTGACCAAATTTGTGAAACGAAACTTACTTTATAATCGGGATTGATACGTGTTGAACAGAAAAACTCCAAAATCTACTATGAGCACAATGGAGCAAGGTCCATTAAGCCAGGTCATTTTACGTCATTGTGGCCAACATTGTGTGACAGAGACAGAGAGAGAATTCGTAACAAGCACGAAGGCAACTTGTAAAGTCTGAACAATGGATTCTGTAACGGGATGACAAACGGTTAGCGAACGATTAAGGTCGGTTCATCCGTTGTTGGTGTCTCAATCGGCTCGACGTACAAGTGTTTCCGGGGAATGAATGAGGCAAG